CCAGGGTAAATGTCACTTTGCACTGACTGGAATAGCTACCTCCCCCATTTTCAGTCAGAGCCCTTACTGCATCCTGCATTTTTGTATTCTATTCTATGATTTATACTTACATGGAGCTACTGGGGCAGGGACAAGGATCCTATTCTGCTCAGCATTCTCAGCCTGTTGTAAATGGTAGGTGGTGTATACACGTTTGTTGAATGGCCAAGTGCATTGTAGGTAGGAATTCTACCCTTCTCACCTCTTCCCTCGGCCTCATCAAATCTCAGCCTAGGAGGGGAAGCTTAGTCAGATCAGCAAACATCACAGAGGACGGATTGGAGACACTTGCATAACAGGTGGGCATTCCCGCTTCACCTGAGCACCTCAGCCAGCACCACTTCCAAAGGGAGCCGACCCTTGCTGAGCGCATCTCTGGGCTCTGCTTGGGTCCGGCCAATGGGAAACTCTGGCAAGACTTTGGAGGCTGGGAAGAAAGGGAGAGCTAGGTATTTCTTTCCCACTCCTCCTTGCTTTGATTTCACATCTCAAAGGTTAGCTACACAGAAATAGGATGGAGAAGATGGAAAAGGGATCTGGAAAAGGACATGTTGAAAATAATTCACCCAGAGATTGTTTCTGAGATGGGAATTTCAGAATGTTTGTCATCATGGCTCAGCTTTGGGAGAGGAGGCCCTGGGTCTAGGGCACTGTTGGGGTCTCGAGACCCTCATGTTGGCCTGTTCTCAGCCCAGAGTACTGCCCAGGGGCAAAGATCAGCTCACCAGGATAGACACAAGTAAGCATGGACTGAGGCAGAAGGCTGCCAAGTCTTTACCCAAAAGCACATCTATATGGAAATGATCTCTTGATGTAAATTTAAAGCTGTTTGACAGGCATTATTTCATTTGATTCCCTAATAACCCTTTGAGATAAATATTTTACTGATGAGGAAACTGACTTAGTCGACACTGCTGGACAAGTAAACTGTGAAAGAAAACAACAACCAGAGTCTACTGATATTCAGGGTGTGATCTTTCTGGTCTATGATCTATATCATCTTTAACTGATGTGGGCTCCATTCCCAGGTGAGCCCCTTATAAGCTGTGTGATCTGGTCATGTGACTCAACCTCTCTGAATATCAGTTTTTTCACCAATAAGACAAACACAATATGTTTCTTTCCTGATTGTTGTAAAGACTAAGTGAGAGAGAGGGGCCTCTCAGAGGCTGGGAGAGGAAGTTACATTTGGGGCTTTCCACAGGAAGCCAAGACCAGACCTTCTGCAGGGCCTGAAAGCCTGAAATTGGTAGAAGGACCTGGGAGGAGCCCTCACACTGGCTAATGGAGTGTGTGACCCTGGGCTTGTACAATCGCAACCAATAGGAGGAACCTCTGACCCCCACTCTCACCCACTGACTAAATGGTACATGCCACCAGCAGGCAGGTGGGAACTAAGCCAGATTTTTATTTATTTTTATTACTTTATTTTTTTATTACAGTTTACATTCAACACTCTTTTGTAATAGTATTAGATGTACAACACAGTAGATAGACATTCATATAGGTCAGCAATGTTCAACCGGTGTGCCCCAAGCATTTTTAAAACATGCAATCCCTGACTATTTAGTCAGGGGCACTGACCTCTTTTTCCTTACATTGTCAAATTTTTAAAAAGTGACAACAGCCAACACAACACTAGCCATCCAATATGAACGATTCAAAATTATGCCTATTTCATTTTTGTTAGATCGGCAAACATATATGTTTTGGTGTGCTGCAGAATTTTAGTAATTAGTTTATGTGTGCCATGAGACAAAAATGGATGATACAGGTACACAGTGTTCCCTCTGATAATTCAAGTGCCCCCTTGGCTCCATCGATAGTTATTACAATACTAGAGGCCCAGTGCATGAAAATTCATGCACTGAAAGGGGTCCCTCAGCCCAGCCTTCCCCCTCTCACAGTCTGGGAACCCTCAGGAGTGGGAGGTGACCTTGTGATCAGGGGAAGGCAACGCCCCCATCACATCTCTGCTGCTGACACTGCTGGCAGCACAAGCCTCAGCTGGCCCTGGTTATCTGAGCCTCGGGCAGCCCTGGGTGTCAGGGAAGCCATCATCCCAGGCTTGCTGCACCTCAGGCCTGCCCTAGGCGGCTGGGGGACTGAGGGCAGGTCTGGCCGCACCGTATGCCTGCCACCCTGCCATGGGGCAGAAAGGACTGGGGGACTCTGGCAGGGCTAAGGGGACTGGGTGCCTCCATCTTGTGGCTATGGGCGCCACCATCTTTGTGATGGTGTGACAGTCAATTTGCATATCACTCTCTTAGATAGGATTGTTAACTATATTCCCTATTCTTTATTTCTTTTTTAATGTTTTTAATTGATTTTAGAGAGAGAAGAAGGAAGAGGGAGAGAGAGAAACATTGATTGGTTGCCTCCTGTATGCACCCTGACCAGGGATCGAACCCACACCCAGGCATGTACCCTGACTAGGAATTGAACCAGCAACTTTTCAGTGCATGCAACAGTGCTCAACCAACTGAGCCACATTGACCAGGGCTATATTCCCTATTCTTTACCTTATATCCCTATGCCTATTTTGTAACGATTTAGTACTTCTTAATCCCATCACCTTATTTTACCCTGCCCAAACCGCCTCCTCCCCAACACTCCTCCCTTAACACCCCTCTCCTCTGGAATCCATCAGTTTGTTCTTTGTATCTATAAGTCTGTTTCAATTTTGTTTGTTCATTTATTTTGTTCTTTAGCTTCCACATGTACTAGTAAGTGATATCATATGGTATTTGTCTTTCTCTATCTGGCAGAACTAAGCCAGATTTAGTTTTATTTTTTCTAAAAAAGGAAATTGGTCTTTTCTATGAAAAATTAAATGAAATAATTATGAAAAAAAAATACCTACTTCCCATAGTTAGTAACACTTAGTAAATGCTGCATACTATTTCCTTCTCTATATTTAACACTAATGGGTAAGTGTTAGGAGGATTCTTGGACACAGCCTGTTCCTTCCTGGGCCTGGTGGGTGTGCAGATTGGTGACAGCAAAGTGCCCAGTAGCTGCCCCCCAGGGACAGGGCAGGAGCACCGTAGCTCACTCTCTGGGTTGGCAGCATTTCCCTGGGAGTCGCAGAAACTGGCAGCTGGGTGAACAACTGGAGGCAGAGCTAGTTGGCTCCCACTTGCCTGTAGGTCCCCTCTACCACCAGGGTGGCCATCCCAGCACACCGCGTGCGCGCGCGCGCGTGTGTGTGTGTGTGTGTGTGTGTGTGTCCACTGCATGCCCTAATGAAAGGGGAGTTAGCTAGGCCTCAGCTGTTAGCCACACTCTGGGTCCAGGGAGACAAACATGGGCAGCAGTGGTGGTGAGTGTGAAAAAGACCTGTGCCCTTGTCCTCTACACACCAAAGCCCAGTGAGGAGGCAAGTGCCCACAGGCACCGGAAGTGCAGAAAGAGCTTGGAGAGCGAGGGCAGAAGACGCTCTCTCCCTCAGGGCAGCCCAGGGAAAGGCAGCCATGTGACAGCCTCCTGCTTGGAGCACCCGCCCACAGAGCTGCCACCTCCATTCAGCAGTCTAGGTCCTGCAGGCTAATTAAGTTAATGAAAAAGAACTAAAGGAATGGAGGAGGGAGCTGGAGGAGGGGTGGGGATGCTGCTGTGCTCAGAGTTAGGAGGTGTGAAAAATGAATCTGTCTTTCAATTACCAGCTTTGTAACCCCAGGCACATTACTACAGGAGGCCTGTTTCTTCACCTGAAAAATATGAATCACAGTCCTCGTGTCACAGGGAGGACCCTTGTGAAAACCACAGTTATCATATGCACACTAATGTCTGCACTGCCCACACCAAGAAACGCGGTTTATTTTGCTCATGGCTGTGCTCCTACCTCCCGCGGAGCCTGGCCATCGCAGGTGCTCAATAAATGTTTACTCAGACCTGAGCAGAAAGTACCGTCACAGCTCCCCGTGTTTTTAAGGGCATTTTGAGGGGCGCTACTATGAGGAACAAAAGGTTAGGAGAGTCTGAGGGTGGAGGCTGCCTAGTGTGAGAGCCTGGGAAGCTGCTCCCCACAGTGAGCCTGGAACAGAGCAGAAGTGTGCCTGGGGGCAAAGTCCCAGGGGCCCCAGGGGTCCCAGGGGTCCCAGGTGAGGCTTCCTCTCTGGGGACCTTGCCCAGTTGCATAGGACCAGCTCTGCGCCCCACCAGGTACCTGGGAATCCATGAGAAGGGCACCCAAAACAGCACAACCCCTGACAGCACTGGAAGGACAAATGGGAACCTGCCAAAATTTTGTTTTAAAAATACCAGCAGTAATAAAATAGGGGGAATGATCTACTGACCTCCAGTGCCTGCACATAAATATCAACAGTATCAAAAAAGCAAAAGGGAAGGTTTTTTTGTTTGTTTTCTACAACAAATGACCATCATACTACATGTTCAAGAGGAAATTTCCTACTTGTTGGAGTATCTGATTAAAGAATCAGAAAGGCGTAACTAGTGCATTTTTTTGGACTGGGTTTGCAGAATCTCAATCATGCAAAGCATTCACCGTGTCCCTCATTTTTCTTTGTAAACTTTTAAAAATGTTCCATTAGATTTGGAAAATGTCTTCTTGTAGGAGGGATCTTTTGAAGGACCTTTTATTTTTTAATTGGGTAAATTTAGGTTTTATACTGACATGAAATGACAGAAAGGACTTACAATATTTCAGCATCTAAATTTGGCAAAACATTCAAAACAATTTTGTCTCAAAATATTTGTCAAAACAGATAATAAAAGTGTTGGCAAGGATGCAGAGACACTGGAATTCCCTTACATGCTGATGGGAGTGTAAAATGGTCCTGCGACTTTGGAAAACAGCCAGCAGCTCTCATTTTTTAAGAAATAAAGTTTTCTCTACCTGCGCTAGAAAATCTGCTCGTAACACTTCGTACACCAGGGGAGTCTCAGCCAGGCTGGGAGACTGACCTCACCCAACTAACATCCTTTTCTTTGTCCTACAGTATGTGTCCAGCTGTCGCGCTGTCACTCAGAGTGCACCAGAGCAAGGCGGCTGCC